AATGTGAAGCGTTGCGGAGCGCAGGGAACGACTGGGTTCGCTCGATGTCAGGAGAGGGTCGCTCTTAGAAGGCCAGTATGGGTGTAGACGCTCATAATGCAGCGAGGTCGTGCGGCTTACGCCAGACCCCCTCTGAGAAGGCGTTGACGGCGTTAACCGACCCCCTGGGTCCGCGCCAGTCATGCTGGTCCCTAATGAGGTCATCCCGACTGAGTAGTGACCCTCTCCTTCGGCTGCGGACGGCACGTCTGCTCCCGCGGCGGGTAGCATCCGTGCACAGCACTCTTCACAAAGCCACCTCGGCGCCCGTGCACAGAGGTCAGGCGAGCCCGCTGGCTGATCGTCCAGCCTCTGTGTAATCTCTGACGCCGATCTTGGTGACGGGTACAGGCAGGAGCCGTTATGGGATCGGACCGACCCGTGTTCGAACACGTTTTGGTATATGTTTTACCATGATGTAGCGGGTTATATCTGACATTTTCGTCACAGTTTTAGCTGCTCTGACGTCATCGGCCGTTATGACTCTTCGGATTTTCTCAAACCAGAAGGTTTCGACGCAGGATGGATGCTTTTCGAACCGATCCAAATCGATACCATATCAGATCAGCACTTTTGTCGAATCGCTGTATCCGTCTGTACGCTTGCTTGCCTGTCTGTCTCGGAATAAACCATATCCAACACGCAGTAGTCACTGGCCACCTGACGATCTGTCAGAGCTGTACCGGTGCGTGCCGTTCGCAGTGGTGTAATGCTCTCACAGTGACTCCAATCGCTGTCCCTGGGTTACCGGTCGGGCTGCGGTGTTCGCCACCGCCGCCGATACACGATCAACTCAGCTCGCCGGTTACGCAACAGTTCAAACTGTGTCTAATTAAGTTCGGGAGACGGGCCGGCACCGGGCTGCCCGAATGTCAGATGTTAATTGCGTTGAGCTGTGAAAAGCGATGGTATCGGTGTGTGGCTGACACTCGCACGGCAGCCGATGTGTGTGAGGCAATGGGGATTACGATGAAATATAGATGCTCGATTCAATTGTCTGATGCGGGATTGATGTATGTGCGTCGCGATGGTGTTATTTTATGAGTTGTCTTTCCGGAGCTGAGGTCGTTGCCGACTAGTGAATCCAAGTTCGGTGTCCTGCTGTAGCAAGCACCTTTGCTAAATCACATACACTCTGTACCTCTTGTTCTAGGAACTGGTGCGTTGCGGAAGTTACCGCCTACCGGTTTATTTACAATAACCTAGCTAAGCTCTTCATAAATGCTGCAGGACCAAATTTCGGGTCAGACGACTTCTGCGAAACACCGAATCCCTGAAGCTGCATTCCACACTCCACCCGTTTGAATGAGCGATTGTCTCTGATATCTGCAGCCTTCACCACATGGAGATCTGGACCCACGGTGCCGAATTAGGTTGCGCCTTTTTCATGGAAACCAAGCTGGAAATGGCTGCTAATGGTACAAGGCGACACTGAGGACGGCAAGCCTCGGGAATTTATTACACTATGCTATGGCAGAATGTGCCTTAAACTGAGACATTGGTGAAATGTAAGGCGCTCCTTTCTGTATAAATAACAGCAGGTCTACCGTTATTTATGCAACTCCTTTTCGTTGGTGTAACCGTTCAGAAGTTTTCTTCGTAATCGTTTGCCCCGAGGCAATAAGTGGTTTTATATTATTTTTAAATTAATTCCTTGCCTTATTTTTTAAAACTGTTCCTTCCATGTCATACCATTTCCATGTTCCTCCGCGGCTGTTTCTCAGCTCCTGTCTGGTCGTTGTACTATTTCGTGTCTACCGTTCCTCTGCCATTGCGTCGCGTTTCTTTAACAGTTAACTGCACGCAGGACGCCGATGCGTGACTCTGGTCGGTGCGAATCCACAGCGACGGTCGGGTCGTCGGCTACTCATTTCGTCGGATTAACATTCACTAGTTCACCACTTGCTGTTTCTTATGTGAGGTTATCTGGCTATATATGTTAGACACCTTACAGCAGGAGATACATATGTTACGGCGTCAGGTGGCGGTGCAGAAACTCCTAAATGATGACTCGGCACCCTCGTATACTAGGCGGCCCAAAGGGGGCGGCATGGGCGCTGAATGTCGGACCGGGCGCCGCGCCCTGTTTCCGAACGACCTCATTAGAGGGTTGTGTTTGTCCTGCTCGGGAAATGGTTGTATGTTATTGCAGTTGTGTTTGTTGGTTTTTCTGTGGGATATTCGGCGAGTGGTGATGTCATTGCGCATGCGCAGAATAACCAGGTCACGGGAGGAGACAGATTTACCGCCGGCCTCGTCCCACAGTTTATGGCCAGGCTGCGTCCACGCGTGTGTCTTGCTCCAGCATACACTATCACTGCGTCACTGGTGGCCTGCGCCATGCACAGACGCTACGCAGTGGGCGTCTCACACCTGGCTGCCTTCAGAGCGCCGTAGAATTGTCACCGTGCCCCGACATATGACACCGCCCACTGACCGGAGGTGTCACCTGCCCTGCTATCGGTGGCCGATCGGACGTGGCCGGCACTCCACAAACAACGCCGTCGACCGCGCTAATGCAATTGTCGGCCGTTAGTGTCAGCCACTAGGGTGGATGGGGCGCCGCCGCGTCCACCGCGACTGTCATCCAGTCTGTCCGTGGGGCTCCGGCCGGTCCTTGGTGGACCTACAGGACCGGACCGGACTACCGGACCAGGATCGGACCGCTGAGGGACCGTCGGTGAGATCTGTGTTAGCAGCTGTCGGGAGGGACAGTGCCAGCAGAGGCGGTGATACCAACATGGCCGTAACTGAGCGCGCACCTGCCGGAGAGAGAGAGAGAGAGAGAGAGAGAGAGAGAGAGAGAGAGAGAGAGAGAGAGAGAGAGAGAGAGAGAGAGAGAGAGAGAGAGGAATAGGGGAAGTGAGAGGGGAGAGAGGGAGGGAGAGAGATGCCTCTGTTGACGGCGGAAGGATCAGAGACCCATGTGATGCGGGTCGATTGGGCTACCGTTGTCAAAACAAAGTGATTCAGTCGCAGAGACGATATAGTGATAAAGCGACTACCAACTACATAGACACAGACACGCACCATCACTGCTAACCTGCGATTGGGCTCATGTAAATACACCATCATGATGATACGTTTTAATGCTGAGCATTGTGATGATAATGATGCGGTGTCGTTAAAATGATACGCTTCTGCAAATGATTCACCGACTGTAACTACCGTGGTTATAGATGGCCTGCAATCACACAGTGTGCACATATTTGGTGACTACACAGGCAGATGATGGAAGGCAAATATTAGCCGCCGGATTCCTGAAAGTCGTTTGTGAGCCGATGTTTGTGTAGTGTGCACTGAGTGATCGGCCGCCGCCGCCTGCAATGCGGCTCACTAGTCGTGCCGCCCTAGTGCGCAGGGCGGCACAACCTGGAGACTGCACGACTGCACAACAACGGAGCACCAGCCCTCGGCGACCACCGATTCAATGCGTCTGTTGGGGGGGGGGAGGGGGACAACGCTCTTGCCTTTGATCGTGTTGGCTATTGGTGCTATTTTAAAACCTTTCTTCTTTATCATTTTCAGTATGTTTTTGTGATTTAATGTTACCGCTTGAAAGGGCGTTGTTTCAAAAGTGCACGTGAACTGGTCATTTATTTGTTAAGTGAATTGAATGTTCTACTTTTTGGGTCAGGTGGGGTGAGGCCCTGGCAAGAAGGGAAGATTGCTTGGGGCTTAGGGGCATCTGGGAGGAGTATGACTTATGAGTAAAAGTGATTATGTGGAAGACTCGTGTGGAAAAGGCGTAGGCCGGCTTTGGTGATTAGGTGATTCTTAGTGTCAATTGTGATTACTGATCATGTTTGTTCATTAATACGAAAGATAACTTATCGGACAGTTTTGGTGTCGAAGAGATCAAAGGACGATAAATCTAATCAAATTCCTACAAGCTATTTCGGCATTCCTTTTCGTTTTAGTCATTATTTCAATTCAACTATGGCAAGTTTCGATGTGAGATTGATCCCAGAATTCGACGGTACTGGGGATGTTGTCGACTGGATCGAAAAGGTGGAAATGGTATGCAATCTTCAGCAACCGGCTGCAGATTAAGTGGTAGTCATACCACTGCGATTGAAGGGTGGCGCTTCTGCTGTTTATCGGCAGCTGCCTGAAGTGGACAGGAGAGAGGCGGTTAAGGTAAAGGCGGCTCTGCGACGCGCCTTTGCCGCTGATAAATACACTGCGTATGAAATGTTCAGCGCGCGTCGGCTGGGCACGGGAGAATCGGTAGATGTGTATTTGGCAGACTTGCAACGGCTGTCAACCCTCTTTGGAGGGCTCTCCGAAGAAGGGATGGGATGCGCGTTCGTTGCCGGCCTACCCGAATCTGTGAAGCAAATGCTACGGGCCGGCGCTCGCATGGAGTCATTGACTCTATCTGAAGTCGTGGATAGGGCCAGAGCCATCCTACGGGAAGACTGCAAGGTACCCGATATAACGGCTATGGTGGTGCGACGGGGAAGAGACGGCCAAGACCAGCGCTTCAATGGTGGGAGGAAGGAGCGAGGGCCGTGTTACGCGTGCGGTCGTCTGGGACATATCGCGCGTGAATGTCAGGCGCGTGAAGGAAACGGTCCAAGCATGGTGAGATGTTTCCGGTGCAACAAGCGTGGGCATATCGCGGCTCAGTGCCCGGAAAACGAGGATCGAGAGGCGGTCCATGCGCCGGCCTCCTCTCGGGACTGAGATGGAACGGCGCGCTGCCGGTGAGGGAGCTATCGATGAACGGAGTTGACTGTGATGTCTTAATTGACACGGGGTGTACTCGCACTGTGATTCATTCGTCACTCTGCGCTGTTTGGGAGAAGCGGGACGTGTACGTACTGACGGCCAACGGGGAGAGGCTGGAATGTGCGGGTACGGCTGGTGTTCGTGTGCAGGTTCCGGGGATGGCACCAGTAGTTGTTGATGCACTTGTGGTTGCTAAGAAGCCGCTGGGATTCAGTGCGATTCTCGGCATGGATGGAGTGAGGGCTCTCGGGGGAGTAGCGGTGCGATCGCCCTCTGAGGTAAAGTTCGCCGGCGAGAACGAAGCATGTGGCTGTGTGGGGGACCCGCAAGATCTGACTGTTGATAAGGAAGACTTCCGTGTCGTTTTCGCTGCGGAGCTGCAGCGCTGGACAGTGGAATGGAAGTGGTCCGGTGAGGAGCCACCAGTTCGCCTCAAGAATGGAGTGAGCGAGTATACTGTGCCGGATGAGGTCAGAAAGGACTATGAAGAGGAGATTGAGACCTGGATCAAGAACGGATGGCTACTAGAATACGATGAAGAAGAACACGGTCCCCCGAAAGGCCTGATTCCACTCATGGCAGTGGTCCAAGAGAATAAAGGGAAGGTGCGACCCGTGCTTGACTTCCGCGAGATCAACACATTTGTCGACACGTACACGGCAGATGTTGATGTGTGTGACGAGAAGCTCCGCGAATGGCGTCAGATGGGAGCGAACGTAGCGCTTCTGGACCTCCAGAAAGCATACCTTCAGATACATGTAGACGAATCTCTGTGGCCTTACCAGACTGTCGAGTACAAAGGGACAAGATACTGTCTGAGTCGACTTGGATTTGGCCTGAACATCGCACCAAGGGTGATGAAGACAGTCCTCGAGGCAGTGGTGAATCAAGACGAGGACGTGGCAAAGGCAGTGTCATCATATGTCGACGATGTCTTGGTCAATGAGGATGTGATGTCCGCGGAAAATGTGAGCAAACATCTTCGAGCCTTTGGGCTCCAGTGCAAGGAACCAGTAAGACCAAAAGAAGGCGCTCGGATTCTCGGTCTCCGAGTTCAGGAAGAGCATGGCAACCTCAAATGGAAGAGGGACAACGACGTCCGAGAGATCGACGGGCCGGTGACGAAACGCAAGGTGTTCTCGCTTTGCGGCCGTTTGACTGGACACCTTCCGGTGTGTGGCTGGCTGCGGCCAGCGGTGTCGTTCTTGAAGCGAAAGGCTAATGAAGCGGCGGACGCTTGGGACGACGTCATCGAGGACAGTTTAGTGAATGGGCTGATCGAAGAGATAATGACGCAAATTAACACAGATGACCCAGCGAGAGGTCAGTGGGACGTCAAAGGGAACGAGGTGACGGTCTGGGCGGACGCCAGCATGTTGGCCTTGGGAGTGGTCCTCGAGATCGAGGGCGAGGTGGTGGAGGACGGATGCTGGCTGCGACCAACCGACGGAACACATATCAACATGGCAGAACTTGATGCCGCGCTGAAGGGCGTCAACATGGCCATCCTCTGGGGTGCTAAGAGAGTTCGACTGATGACGGATTCGCGTACTGTGTACCATTGGATCACTGACCTCCTGAGCGGCAAAGCACGGTTAAAGACGAAGGCCGTCTCGGAAATGCTTATCCGGCGAAGGCTGAGTACACTGAAGATGCTGGCCGACGAGTACAACCTGGAGATCAGCGTTCACAGCGTGGCCTCTGCTGACAACAAAGCTGATAAGCTCACCAGAGTGCCGGAGCGGTGGCGAGACACGCGTGCAGGCAGTGGTCCGGCTTGCATCATGGCGGGTGCAGAAGGAGACGAAGATGAAGCCGGGCTAGTGAAGGAGGTGGAGCGGGTGCATCATGCCGCTGGACACCCAGGTGTCAGAAGAACTTTGTACTTTTCCAAGAGGGCAAACTTGCGGGTCACCAAGCGTATGGCACGATCTGTTGTATCAGCTTGTCAGACGTGCCGGTCGATCGACCCGGCACCGGAGAAGTGGACTGGCGGACAGCTGTCGGTAGACATTGTCTGGGAGCGAGTCGCAGTTGATGTCACGCACTTCCAGGGGCGCCTCTATCTGACGATGGTGGACTGCGGACCATCAAGGTTCGCGATTTGGCGCCAGCTGCGATGTGAGAGCGCGGCGTACGTCACAGGGGAGATGTCATCGATTTTCTACGAGAGGGGAGCACCTTCAGAGCTGCTGGCCGATAATGCTACCGTATTCCGCAGCCGCGCATTTCAGGCATTCGTCCGTGAATGGGGCACCCGGGTGCGGTACCGAGCAGCGTACGCACCATCGGGTAATGGCATCGTCGAACGAAATCACCGCTCCGTGAAGGTGATTGCTGCGAGGAAGGGATGTGGCGTGCCGGAGGCGGTGTATTTGTACAATGCGACTCCGAGGGACGACTCGACCGACGCAGCAACCCCTGTCAGCATGGTGTACAAGTACACAGTGAGAGTCAAGGCAGTGGATCCGGTTCAGCCCGCTGAAGAGCCCGAGCCAGATACATGCAGGTACAGCGTGGGAGATGCGGTGTGGGTGAAATCGGCGCGGGGGCGATGTGACGATCGGTACAACAAGGGAGTGGTGACTGGGCGAGTGTCACTGCAGACTGTGGAAGTGGATGGGGTGCCAAGACATGTGCGCCACCTGCAGCCCCGTGAGGCGCACGTGGAACAGCCTCAGAGTGATACCGCAGATGACGAAGGGCCGCTCCTTGTGCGTCTCCCAGAGGAGAACCGGGAGGAGATGGGTCAGGGAGAGGGACAGTGTCGGCGGTCCCAGCGGCAGGTGCGGGCTCCCATGCGGTACGGTTTCGATCAGGATCGGGGAGGAGTGTGATTTAATGTTACCGCTTGAAAGGGCGTTGTTTCAAAAGTGCACGTGAACTGGTCATTTATTTGTTAAGTGAATTGAATGTTCTACTTTTTGGGTCAGGTGGGGTGAGGCCCTGGCAAGAAGGGAAGATTGCTTGGGGCTTAGGGGCATCTGGGAGGAGTATGACTTATGAGTAAAAGTGATTATGTGGAAGACTCGTGTGGAAAAGGCGTAGGCCGGCTTTGGTGATTAGGTGATTCTTAGTGTCAATTGTGATTACTGATCATGTTTGTTCATTAATACGAAAGATAACTTATCGGACAGTTTTGGTGTCCAAGAGATCAAAGGACGATAAATCTAATCAAATTCCTACAGTTTTTCATGGAAAGAAGGGCTCTTTTCTCTTGTTTTACATGCCAGTTTTCAAATGTTGCATGTCATCCTTTCATTTATCTCATAGAAAACCAGCTACGTGCGCCTCTTCTCTTTCATCCAAAGCAATTGTTTTCCCTCCCTTGCAGTCGGCACTTGACCTCAGCATTGTAAGACGCCCGACTCAGAAGCCCTTGAACTGATCTTCCCGATCAGTATAGGAGAGCTGCGCCGCGCGAACGGTGTCGGCTCGCTGGCCACGAACGCTGTCGAGTCACGGCGCTTAAAAATTTGCGCCATTATTCATCCTAACCTGATTATAAAATAATAGCGGTTTGTTGCGGTGCCGTTAGCGTATGACTTGCGCGGTCGGGTAGCTGCCATGTGGTGGCGGTGCGAGGCGCCGCCGCGGCAGAGGGCGAGGATGCTGCACTGCAAACGCTGCCGGGGGGAGAGGAGGAGAGGAGAGGAGAGAGGGGTGAGCCGCTGCAGACGGGGAGCGGGGCTGGGTGCCGGACCGCCCGGCCCGCTCACTTGCATCCCATCACCGGCGATGCCGTGCCGGCGGTGGTCGGCGATGGGCCCAAGTTGCAGATAAATAGCTACAAATTGGGCCCCGAGTAGGTGGAAACTGCGCCCTGATGGCGCTCAAACGGTCGTAATGGAGCCAGCTGATCGTATCGCAGCAGACTCCGTTGTTTATGCCCGCATGGACTACGGATGTCTTGTTTAGGTAAATGCTGCCCGTTGTCGATGCTGAATTCCGACATGACAAAATGAGTCAGGCATCCATGCTAGTTTGGAAATTCTGCCACGAAGAGTTGATATGCAGCCGGCCGTGACTGGGCAAGTGACGAGCTATCCCGTTTAGATGACTGTGATGTCTGACATGTATTCACTTAACAAGGCATCAACAGGGAACGAGACAGAGCAGGCATCGCTGATGTGTTCGCAGGACGTTGTGATTTGTTGAACTTGTGTCCTCTGTGTTCGGCAGCCCTCTCTTCCCATTCCACTAACTTATTTTCATTGATCTCTCCACGAGGTTATACCTTAGACTGAACACTCTCCCTATGTTCGTCTCCCGCGGTGTAAAAATGCGACCCTCGCCATAAGAACATACTTAATTTGATCCACCCGTCTCCCGATCCATGTAATAAATCCACCAGTGCTGACCCTGCAAACAGCGTGCTGCGTACCCGGTCACACTGCGCGCCGGAGCGGTCGCCCTAAACCAGCCGTGCCCGCTCGGACTCAGTCACCTGTTCATATGAAAGGCGGTGTCAGAGGGTGGTCTCAGTCGTCAGTCATGGCCTGCCGCAGTCAGTCAGCGACTGTCATCGTCCGTCACAGCCCACAGGCATATGTCAACATCCAAGCCCGTCAGCATGCATTTAGAGTCAACCAATGGCTGTTTGATTCCGTCAGCCCTCTCGGCATTATCCTAGTGTTTTTTATGTGAAAATGCGTTTTCATGCAACTGCAAGAAGCTATTGGATTTTTAGTTTAGGCAGAGCATTACGGAAAAAATGTCGATGGTTTTTCGGTCGTAAATCGCCTTTTTCGCATGCTCGCGCCTCGTGGCATTTCAACCGTGGCCTTAACGAGTGATTGGCAAGAACTGATTGAGATGACACAGTTTTCACAGGCGACCATCTGATATGCTGCTTTCTTTGTGGTGTCTGGTTAGCTAAACTTTTTCATTTCAACTGAGGCAGATCGTTATGCTGGGATAGTGGTACTGGTAATTGTCTCGTGGAGTTATCTGGTTTATAGACAGCCGATTGTTTGTTGGTCGGTTTTATGTTCCATAGTTATATCGTCAAGTTCTACAGCGATATCGAAGGTAAACGATCCCCTGTGTACCGAACAAGCAAATGGATGGGTATGTTGGGTTATGCTAATCATCTCGGTACGCTGAGAAATTTATTCTGCGAGCTAATATATTCTCATATTTCATTGGGATTTACCTATTCTTGGACCATTCGGGGAGGGGGGGGGGTCATTCCTTCCACAGGACTCCGTAGTATTCACATACGGAAGAGGAATAAGAAACGGAGTGGATCGCATTGCGTCAATTCTGCGGCAGGGGCGTAAGACATGAGAGCGATCAGGCCGCCCACCGGCTGTCTTATATCGGTTATTTAGCGGGCCGACTCCGCCTCGCTGTGATCAGTTGCGCCCCACTCCCAGCTTTAAATCAATCGAATTTACGGACCGTCCGACAGAATAATCACAGAAATGATTTGGATGTTTAAACTCCCTGAGAAAACAGAGCTACTGTGCTGGCTCCCGTGGTGTCACGCTTCTTTAGCGTATAATCGTGTTCCATATTTATCTTAAGTCTCAACAATCGCATCCGCGTGACCGTGAATGATCACGGGAGTGGTTTTCAAGGACATGTTTTAATGGTGACATATGGCGCATATTTATCCGAGAAATTACGTCATCGATTGGTAATTAGGCAGATTTTCGTGCCACGGAAAGGTTTAATCTTTTAGGCTGAATTGTGTCAATTAGTCTCCAAATCGGTTCTATGGCATTCATGCTGTTTATAATTGCAACTGTCATTTATTTGAAGCAATGCAGTTATTCGTTGCGAACGCCTTTTATGTAATGCAAGCTCGTTGTATGCTGTTCGCGCTTGGCATGTCAACTCATTGCCAATTAATGCATTTTTAATTTTAAATTATGTTAAAACTTACATTTTGAGCGCCTAATATTGGCTGTTATGACCCGAGGAATCAGCAAACCCGTCTCGTGACGGCAAGGGGACCAAAAATTCGATGAATGACGGTGCCGTGGGGTGTTTTTGCATGGAGCCATGTGTGATTTCTAACCACTTGTCTTCTCTGTTTCAGGTGAGTACCCAGAAGGATGTTTGCCGATAATTGTGCCGTAAAACGCCGCAGGGCAATAAGGTCAGTGGATTTTTTTTTTGGCATCGAATCGACTCAGCTTCAGTTTGCTCTCTTGGTCCCAATGATGTTCAATAATTTAGCACGTCGAGTAACGTTATGGTAACGGATGGTTTAGGAAATCACAGATTGACTGAAAATTGTAATTGCTAAAATTACTCACCTGAGTTCAAACATGTTTTTTTTTTCTTTCTCGCCTTCTGTCTGCAGTGACGTTCTTTTCACATGGCCGTGGTAAAGTTGAGACTGATTTCGGCCACAATAACCTCTTTCGGGTCAGTCCAAGATCTTTACCTGTCGAGCAATGCAGATCTGGGGCAAGATGAGCCATGCAAGAGAAGGCGCTTGCCATTCCTGCAGAGGCGAATGCCAATGCTGCGCCACTGCGGTAGGCCTTGGATGGCGCGCTACATCCAATTCAGCCGCTGTTGCGTACTTTTCATGTACTATCCAGTATCCATGAACCTGGGAGCAACATCTTCGCCGCTATGCAGGGAAATGTGATCGGTTTATAGAAAATGGCGCATATGATGGAAGGAAGGAAAGTTGTAATGTGACGATTATTTCATAAATATGCAAGATATTACAACAAAAATTACCCGACGTTTCGTTTATTATAACACCCGCACCGGCAGACCGTGCGGGTGCCGGTGCGGGTGTTAGATATTGTTTGCCCTAATAATTATATAGGGCCTTGGCCCTAATAATTATATAGGGCCTGTCCAAAGCCCGAAGGTGACTTTAACATTTGCTTGGGCTTGGGTGTCGTGTACACATTACCCTTGAAAAAGTTATAATAAACGAAACGTCGGGTAATTTTTGTTGTAATATCTTGCATATTTAAGGAAGGAAAGCTTTAACTATTTACGACTTCTGAGTCATTGTCGAGAGCCATGCACTCACGAGCCACATGCAAATAATAAAATGAAATAGGTAGTGCAGCATAGCGGATCCTAAGTGCCCTTAAGAAATCGATGCGGACATAAACTAAAACGCCATTAACGTTCCTGGCATTGAAGTTGATTGCATGAGAGCAAACACAGCCGAACGAATGGCTAATGTAACTCATCTGTGCTCCGTAACCCAAGTGGTGGGGATTTTCCCCACTTACCGACAGGTTAAGTTTGCTTGGCTCGTTCACTGTGATTAATGAACGCTCGCGGGTCACATGTTTATCATTTTCCAAGTGCTAATTAAGCGTGCGTTTAGCGATATCGGCGGATCGAGAGGCCCCGTGGATGGCCGCGGGGCACACCGGTACGATGAGATGGCGTGCCGTTTGGTTATGTTGGTACGGACCGTGTCAGCTCGTCAGCTGTCGGATCGTGTCAGTCTGTCAGGTGTTGGACGATGTCAGTTCGTCGGACCTTCTGTCACCGGGAAGTGTCGTTCAGTCCAGTCTTCGTCGCTGTCTCTTCCCTGCAACGTCCTCTTGCTTCTGCAACGTCGGTGCTCCTTTGCCGTTCATCTAACGGCATATCATAGCTGAACAGTTACACGGCCACACGTGGCAGCGCCTGAAAGGTCTGTCGATGGTGGCCCCGCTAGGAGCGCTCTGACACCACCGGAGAAGAAGACTGTCGTGGGTGACGCGATCGCTGCGCAAGATCGTGTTCCCGATCACACCTGAGGCCGCGCTTCGAGCAAGCGACTCCGCTGATGCTAGCTAGCAGTTGTGCAGTGGGAAAAGTGTGAAAATGTGTTCCGTCTTCCAATCTGAGATGTCATAACTGCTTTTGAGTCCCATCACTTTACATACATTGCCTGTTGCAACCTTTTTCAGTACCTCACAATCCCTCCCACCTGATGACAGTATTTCTAAGGACACCGACCCACCCCGTTACTCCGTCCGTCACGTTTCCGGCGTTTGGATGACGTCATCGACTGCACTCGGGCCGGCTCCTGCGGCCCCAAATTACAGGGCGGCCGACCGATCGGTCGTATGCATGTATCGATGGCTGTAGATAGCGGTCGGAATGTTCCGAAAACCCGTCTCTGGAGGGCACTGTGCGCCGGTGGGAGGGCTGATGACGACCGCCCTGGGTGGATGACGACCGCCGCGGGTCGATGGGCCCGGCATGGAGCGGCGGCGGGGCTGGAGGTTAGGTAGAAGGGTCGGACGGTGAACTGTGGGGGTAATCGCTGTCCTAAAATAGCGACTTGAGTATGGAAGGACCCACAGTGGGACTTTGCATACGATGGGATTAGGATAAGTAAGACATAGGTTGGATCAGAATTAACAAAACTAAAAGGGGACTGACAATGATTAAGGTGGACTGGAAAGAACACAGAGGGGCTTAGACAGAAGTACTCAAGAGAAACCAAAATTGACCGTAAGAAGGACTGGGAAAGTTTGAACATCGTGACGAAGGGACACGGTTAAAACACCTATACTTGGTTGGCACCAGATGCAATCGGCTTAACGTTTGGGTTCGACCGGGTCACAGTGCAGTGTGCCAGAGTGCCGAATCGCCTCTGTAACGGTCTGCGGTACGGATAGGCACGTGGGCGGGTGGTCAGATACGGAGCCGCCCAGTGTCTGGCCGGTGGGCGGTCTGGTATCATCACGAGTCGCCGCTGCACCCCCGCCTGTCGTCGTCCTCACTCGGCGCACCCCATCATTCCGATGGAATGACCGCCGGGGTACGTCAGACACCTCTTCACCTGTCAACATCTGCAGCAGGGGGGGTCCGTCCCTTTACCGGGCCATAGGAGGAAAATTGCTACCAAATGCTGCCAATGTGACGTCACTGGGATGGTCGAAAGCTGATTGGTCGCTGAGATTCAGGCGATGCTGTCAATTCTGGCGCACCGGCGCAGTGTTTTCCAGCCGTTGCGTGTATTGTTATACGGAGTTTGAATATTGTTTATTTGATAATAATATTACTTTTTATGTGTTTGAAGATCGGAAAAGCATATACATAAGTGGCATTCACACACTTGTCGTCTCAGAGATCGTGAAGAATGACCAGCTTCAGCAGTTTAGCTCAGGTATTCAATTAATTCAACTGTATAAGCATGAGTATCATAGGCAGATCAGCCACGTTTCAGTTCAACCCGGTTTAACCTTTTTTTGTCATTTTTGGCTTTCAAAGGGAGCATGATAATCTCATATTAAGTTGTAAAATACCTTAGCATTGTTTAAAACATAATGAGAAGGAGAATAGAGATGGAATACCTAGTTGTAAATTGTTTCGGATCGGAAGTGGTTAGCTTCTATAAATCTTAATGCTTTGTGAAAATAACAACTTATTTGTCAAATTAAATAGTATCAAATAACAAATCAATCTATGCTTACCTCCCAGACTGGAAAAAAATTCACTCACTGTCAGATTCGTCAGGGCCCAGGGGCTTTCGGGTCTCAAAATTCAGCGCAAGTGATTTCTCACCAAAATTTTGGCACATCTTTTGTGCAAAGTTGAAGCTCATTGTTACTTCTTTTCAATATTAGTTGTTGCCAGATTTTATAATCTGTATCTAAACTTTCAAAATTGAATTTAAAAGGATTTCTGACATGCTTATTACTGAAAATCCCATTCTTGTTTATGTAAATGTTATGTAATTGACATTTGCTAACTAAACAAGCTCATTCTTGTCTAATGTCTATATATTGGTTTCTACTTATACCACCTGTGCTACTACTAATTTCTATTTGTTGAGACTATTTACCTAATGCATTTGCTTCATATGATTTTATACGCAGACGCACCTGTGCATGGAACAGTAATGCCAGACCCAAAGTCAAAATAATAATGAAAAATTGTGTTATTTGCTTGTTTGAACTGAATTCTGAGTCAGGCCTGCAATCAATACATAAATATAAAATAGGTACATGTTTTGAGGCTTCATATCAGCACATAGAAAAGGCAATCGAAGAAAAGGCACCTTTGGGCATTGATTATTTTTGCTTGCCATCGCTTAGTGAATTTTTTTCATGTTGCATTGTGTTAATAAACTTGGTAATGTGTTTTGCAGGTCCTGGGCTGGTCCTCTGGCGTGCAGGACGGCGAGGAGTGGCTACCTGCACATAACAACACAATGACTGGCACCGAGCTGAGGGCATAAAATCACATCATATCGACTTCAGCATCTGTCTCCCAGCTTTGGAGACGTCGCCCGACTCCCTGAGTGGCGAGCGCCAGTTTCCGAAAGGAAGTTGAGGAAAGCGACCCGAAAGCACCCGCTGGGCTGCCGACACTCCTGCGCTGCCAGCAGGGCGTGCTGCGCAGTAAAGCCTCGCTGCGTGGTCTGTACGACATCCGACACCGGCACCCAGACGTGCAGTTTCTGATGACATCCCACCTCAGCCAGGGCTGCCCCGAGAATCTGCTAGTGCTGACTGCCTGCTGCTGAGGCCGACCTGCCGACGACCTGCCGGACCTGTCGCCGCCCTGGTGAGCCTGAGCCGCCCTGGGACTTGCCGCCGTGTCTACGCTGCCGCCCTGGTGAAACTGCCGTCGCCCCTGCCGACTGCTGTCGCCGCCCTGGTGAGCCTGCGGCCGCCCTGGACCTGCTGCCACCCCGGCGGACCTGCCGCCGCGTCTACGCTTCCGCCCTGGTGAAACTGCCGTCGCCCTGCCGGATCTGTCGCCGCCCTGGTGAGCCTGCGACCGCCCTGGGACCTGCTGCCACCCCAGCGGGCCTGCCGCCGCGTCTACGCTGCCGCCCTGGTGAAACAGGTCAGTCGTCGCCCTGCCGGACCTGTCGCCGCCCTGGTAAACCTGCTGCCGACCTGTCGCACCTGCCACCGCCCTGGTGAATCTGCTGCCGACCTGCCTGACCTGTCGCTGCCGTGGTGAACCTGTTACCGACTTGCCGGACCTTTCTCGCCGCCTTGACGAGCTTGGGGAGCCTGTGCTGAGGTGCCACCGCTCTGTTTCACGTGTTATGTTGCCCGGTTCCTGGCTGTCGCGGAGTCAATCGGCACATTGTGTTTGGAGAGGCGAC